AGGTCCTCAAGTGAGTCAGCATTTAGCTTTACCGTTTGCACTTACAATTGATTCTGTTTCTGTTTATCACACATATTGTACATGGGCAGGGGCGTACCTAGAGCATTTGGCACCCGGGGCGGATCCTGTGCTTGGCACTCCCCTCTCCTCCCAAAAAACCTGTAAAAATTTTAAAGGTTCTCTCTTTTTTTTTTTTTTACAATTTGTAAAGACTCCTGTCCCAATACAAAACCCCCGCCCCCTTCTACAAAATCCCTGCAGCCCCACACACACATTTACAAGCAGCAGTCACACACTCAGTTACAGACAGACAGTCACACACTCAGTTACAGGCAGACAGTCACATACAGTCACAGGCAGACAGTCACACATACACATTTCCTCCGTGCGGCCAGTTTATCAGCTGTTTGCTTGTGTGAGCTGTACTGGCCGCACGGCACCCTAACTACCATGGGACACTGTGCGGCCACAGCTCACACAGCCCCCTCCAGCCAGGGCCAGTGCAAGGATTTTTGCCGCCCTAGGCAAAAGTAAAGTTTGCCGCCCCCCCCCCATGTGACATCACAATGCCCCACCCATATGATTTGCCACGTTAACTAACGCCAGTGCTGCAGTGCCGCCGTGTTTACATTAAAAGGCCTGCAGGGACAGGCTATAGACACCAGAACCACTACATTAAGCTGAAGTGGTTCTGGGACTATAGTGTTTCTTTAATGTGAGGTAAATTAGAGCTTAGTGCCACGAATAATATACTAGATTGCCTACTTACAACGAGATGAGGATGATGATGGGCTCTAGCCGCAGTCTGGCTCCACTGGTCTGGTGTAGAACAGGCTCTCTGGAGGCTGTTTGTAACTGTGGTCACAAAAATCAATGTTCTGGGAGAACGTGAAGCAGCTCCATTTTTTGGGGGCCCTTTACACAGCTCAAGGTCTGGTTCCCAGGGTCCACCTTCATGTTCCACCAATGAGTTTGTTCACAGGGGGTGGATGTGTAGGGGATGTCCTGATATGTGTGTAAGGAATGCATTGTGTGAAATTGTGTTTGTATGTGTAAGGGCTGCAAGGTGTGTTTCTGTGTATGTATGGGATGCATTGAATGTGTAAGGGGTGCATTGAGTGTGTGTAATGAATGCATTGTGTGTTTCTGTGTGTGTAAGGGATGCATTGTGTGTAACGGTTGCATTGCTTGTGTATGTGTGTGTGTGTGTAATGCATTGTGTGTTTTTCTGTGTGCAAGGGGTGCATTGTGTGT